GTCTGTTTCTTGGTTTTGCTTCTCTCTCTCCCTCTTTTTTTCCCTTTGCTCATTTGTTCTGTTTCTTAAATTCCACATGAATGAAATCATATGTTTTTGGCTTTATCTGACTTATTAATACTCTCTTTTTTTTTTCTTTTTAAAGATTTATTTATTTGAGAGAGCGAGAATGAGAGAGAGAGAGTACATGAGAGGGGGGAGGGTCAGAGGGAGAAGCAGGCTCCTCGCTGAGCAGGGAGCCTGATATGGGACTCGATCCCGGGACTCCGGGATCATGACCTGAGCCGAAGGCAGTCGCTTAACCAACTGAGCCACCCAGGCGCCCCAGGCATAATACTCTCTAGCTCCATCCGTGTTGCTGCAAATGACAAGATTTCATTCTTTTTTATGGTTGAGTAATATTCCATTGTGTGTGTGTGTGTGTGTGTGTACACACACACACACACACACATCTTCTTTATCCATTCATCAGCCGATGGACACTTGACTATTTCCATTTGATTGTCTCTTTTAAAGTTAAAAATACACTTTATTTTATGACCCAGCAATTCCATTCTTAGGCATTTACCAAGAGAAATAAAAACAGATGTCCACAAAAGGACTTATATAAACTGTATATAGTAACTTTATTCATAGTAGTCAAAAAATGGAAACAAGCCAAATGTCTATTAATAGACAAATGGATAAATTGTGGCACCGTAATACAATGGAACATATTCAGCAATAAAAAAGAATAAATTACTGATAAACATAACTAAATGGACAAATCTCAAAAACATATCGATCAAAAGAAAAAAGACACAAAAGAATCTATGCTATATGAGTTTATTTATATGAAGTTGAAGAATAGGCAAAACTAATGTTTGGGTGGTAAATCAGAATAGTCACTGCATAGTACATTTACATCTTTCTAGTTTGGATTTAATTTTATTTACCTATTTAGATTTTTGTTAATGTAAAATTTACACTCAGTGAAAACACAGATCTAAACTGTACTCTCAGATGAGTTTGATAAATCTATACATTTATGTAACCTCATTCTCAAGATATAGAACATTTTCATAATCTGAGAAAGTTCCTTTCACCGCAGTTTGCCGAACTCAAGAGTCTCAATGATTTTTTTCTCCCTCATCTTTTCCTATTAGTTTTGTAATTTTAGCTTATATGTAGGCCTATGATCCAATCTGAGTTAGTTTTTGTATATGGTGTTATGTAACAGTTGAGGTTCATTATTTTGCACATAGATGTCCAACTGTTCCAACATGATCTGCTGAAAAGATTGAGACCAATGCATTTTAATGTAACAGAGCACAAAAAGTTTACTGATACGGTTTCAGATTCTATACTGCAACTAATCTTTAAGAAATTACAACTAACTGAAAAGGGTATTAAAGTACCTCTCTCTTTTTAAACTATATTTCTGTGTGGTTGGATATTCTTCATACATTCAAAACACTACATCACAACAGATTGAATGCAGAAACAGAAATGAGAATCCAGCTGTCTTTTATTAATCCAGACATTAAAGAGATTTGTAAAAAATGTAATACAATGCCAGTCTTAATTTTTTTAGAAAGGTTATTTTCTAATAAAATATTTTATTTGTAAGGCTTTTTTTAAAGATTTTATTTATTTATATGAGAAAGAGGGAGAGGGAGAAGGAGAAGCAGACTCCCTGCTGAGCAGAGAGCCCGATGTGGGACTCGATCCCAGGACTCTGGGATCATGACCTGAGCTGAAGGCAGATGCTTAACTGACTGAGCCACCCAGGCGCCCTAAAATATTTTATTTGTATTAGCATGTGATGGGGCTTTTTTTAAAAAAATATTTTATTCATTTATTCATGAGAGACACAGAGAGAAAGAGAAAGGCAGAGGCAGAGAGAGAAGCAAGCTCCCCGTGGAGCAAGGAGTCTGATGCAGGACTTGATCCCAGGACCCTGGGATCATGACCTGAGCAGAAGGCATTTAACCAACTGAGTCACCCAGGCGCCCCAGAATGGGTTTATTATAGTTACTTTAAATGAAGTAATAAATTAATACTAAATTTTTCCTCAGTTCTAATTTCAAATAGTAAATATCAATAGATAAAACCCATATAAATAAAAGCACTTTGGTGTCCTCAATAATTTTTAAGAATGCAAAGGGGTACCAGAGCAAAACCAAACTGCCACCATCTCTCTCTTTAATTACTGAAATTATTCTTAAAATAGCTAGAGTAATACATCTAAATGCAAATCTGGGGGCGCCTGGGTGGCTCAGTCAGTTAAGCATCTACCTTCTGCTCACGTCATGACCTCAGGGTCCTGGGATGGAGCCCCGCATCATGGGGGAGTCTGCTTCTCCCTCTCCCTCTGCCCCTCCCACCTCCACTTATGTGTATGCTCTCGCTCTCTCTCTAAAATAAATAAATAAATCTTTACATATAATAATAAATGCAAATCTGATCAGGCCAAACTTGTATTTAAGTCCTTTCAACAGCTTACTGTTCTTCTTAGCATCAAGGCTAAGATGACCCACAAATCCTGCATGATCAAGCTTCCCAGTCTTTCCTAGCTCCATTCTCCTCCTTCTCTGAAATAATAGTCTTTTTTCAGTAGAGTCCTTAAATGCACCAAACTCCACCTGTCCCCAGGGTCTTTGCATTGCCTCTTCCTTAGGCCTGAAATGTTTCCCCCTCCTCCCTTTTGCCTAGTTAATTCCTACTCATCCTTAAGACCTTAACTCAAACATTTATTACCTGATCTTCCTTACCCCCACCCTTGGATTAGATCAGGTTCCTCATTTATATATTCTTATGGCTCCCTGCACATTTCTCTCAGGATTTTTCAGTTTGGGGATTATACATAATTATACATATGACCATTATTTGCCTATGCATCATATGCATTTTTCTAAGATCAATAGTTCTCTTCAAATTCTCAAAGGAGTCCATGACCCCTGTGTAGTGAAGAACTAACCTTACCCAGAGACAGGTCTGGCCTCTGCCTTTGGCCACTGGGAGGTGGTATCTAGGCCTTGGGAACTTCTTACCTAAGAGGGTGTCTCTTTGCCTGAGGATTTTGGCCACTGGACAAATGTGACTTACAGTGGAGGCTTTGAGCCATACTTTATCAGTTCCAATCCTGAGAGGAAATGGAGACTGAAAGCATTAGTGTGACCTACAGAAGGGGCTAGATACTAACAGTCAGCCATGCAAGCAGTTTGTAATTGGGCCCCCCAAAAATTCTAGACACCAAAGACTTGGTAAATTTCCCTAGTTGGCAATACTTTGTGTATACTGTCATATACTATGGCCAGGTCATGAATCCATGGGGACATGACGACAGGAAGTTCTAAGTTTGGTCCCCTCGAGAATCTGCCCATGTGTCTCTTTCTTTTGGCTAATTTTAACCTGCATTCTCGCCCTGTATTAAATTGTAAGTATAATAGCTTTCAGTGAGTTCTGTGAGTCCTTTCTAGTGAATTATCAAACATGAATGTGGTCATGGGGGCTCCTAGACTTGTAACTGGTGTCTGAAATGAGGGCAGTCTTCCAGTGACTATTCTCTTAGACTTCGTAGTTTGGCTAAACTTATTACGACCTCCAAAAGATTAAAAACCCACAGGTTAGTCCATGAGTTCCTCAACAGCAGAAACTTTATCAATATGACATGTAGCAAAAGTTTAAATACTTGAAATAAATCGATACTGTCAGGATAGCACTATTCTCTAACAACAACAGCAATAATATTAATGATGATGAAGATGATAACAACAGCAGTCATTTACTGCATGCCTTTACTGTAGTCCCCATGTACAGATGGGGAACATAAGGATGAGAGTGAAATGACTTGCTCAACATCATACTAGTGACAAAGACAGTAGGTAAGCCCTGATTTAACTAATGTTAGAAGCCTATGCATTTTCATATATTGTATCCCCTAAGACAAGCAAAAGAAGATTAATATTATGTTTTATAAAGGACATACAGAAATATCTACCATTATCACCACTAAAACAGTATCATTAAGGACCAGCAATTGTTAGCACAGTTCAGGAATGGAGAATACTTAACTTCCTCTCTTTTAACTAAGACTATAGTCATAAGCATTCTGATGCTTGCTTACAGCTTCCATTTGAAATTCTTCTAAATAGAGTAAAAACTACATAGGTTAAAAACAAACAAAAAACTAACTTGTGTATTACTATTAAATACGAAACACAAACTGCAAATACCTGAGGCGAACAGATAACATTTCTGCCAAGAAAATCACCATATATAGTACCCTAATCTGTAAGCTATGGACATCAAGTTCTTTCTTACATGTTTCTCTACAAATGTTCCATTCTCTCTATAGATTTCTCTCACAGCCTAGATTGTCCTAATAGCCTCTAAGAAAGGCCAAAGGAACTAGAATCTGTCAGTTCATGCAAGACCAGCTGGACTGTTTCAAGCTGAATATTGTACTCAAGGTCTTAAAAGGCCTTTCCACCTTGAAATTAGACCTGTTAATTAAGAGATAATTAAATGCAGATCTTACCCCAAAATATATAGAGGAGTATAATAACCAGGAGACACTCTGAATTAGAGTACTTTTTATTTTTAATAATCATAAGAAAAACACAAGAAGGTGTTCAAGGCAACTGGTTATAATTAATTGATTAATTACATTAATTGGCTTTATGTAGGTCCAGAGCAAACGTTACATAATAAATGCTACTGGTTGAAATTACTTTAAAATTCACTATCATACCTGTACTAGATATGAAAACCAAAGTCAACTTGTGCTGTGTCAATTCTGGCAAACCAATCACAGTAATAAAAATGTCTTAAGAGTGGATCAGTCTGGGTCTACATTAAAAATGAATCGTTAAAGGAGTACTGAGTGATGTGAAATACAGGCAATATGAAGGAGAGAAAGTGAACATAAGTAAAGGACAGGAAGGGAGGAAGACACACTAATGAATCAGACACACACACTAATGCCCGCAAATAACCCACAGAGACAGAGAAAGTACCTGGAAAGCTGTGAGTGCGCCAGTCCCTGGGTTATACAGGCATCGCAGCGAAGGCATGCTGTCCGCCAGGCTGGAGCAGCCCAGCCACAGAGACCTGGGCATAGAGCACTGCAGAGAGAGGACAACTATGAGATGGGACAGTATGAGACAGGATGGCACAGATTACAGGAATTTTCAAGGCTTGGCTGAATGCAATATTCCAGTTGCAGCTGGTCTTTATGATAGAAACATATTCAAGAAACATACCACTTACTATTTCTAACCCCGGAGAAAACCTTGAAAGGGGCACTACTGGCCAAAAGGCAAGGGGAAAGAAAGGAGGTTATAGGTCAAAAAAACAAATAGTAAAGAATTTTTGTCTGTTCTTTTATGTATGAGTCTAAAGGAAATCTACTTCTTAATCCAACTAATCAATTCTTTTCCTCTGTGCACCTTATCTCCCATAAATTCACCGCAGGGTGAAATACCGTAAAGACTAAACTGAAAAAGAACACTTCATGGTAATTTCCTTATTAGGAATGGTAAATTAGAAAACAAAATACAACAGGAAAGTTGTTTTTTTTTTTTTTTTTTTTAGAAAGTGGGGAGAAGGAAAAAAAGTATTATATCCCCACAGCTTTGACAGCAGCCAAGTCTGCACGGTTTGCATATGTTTTATGTATCTTGTTAGTCTGCTATTCATTAACCAAAATGCATAGTTACCATAGCAGCTGCCTCTTCCATCTTTCCAGATGGACTGGGGGTGGGGTGGGGGGAGGACAACCCAAACAGAAGGGAAAACAACAACAATGAAAGAAAGAGAGACAGGACAGAAAAAGAGAAAGAGAAAAAGAACCCAAAAAAGTTGCTGGTATTAAAGTCTTCTAAATAAAAAGGTAAGTGTGAGTATAAATACACATATAATGTATTCAGTAGCAAAAAGGGTAGACATGATGATTTCTAGTAATACTAACTAAATAGTATTTGTTATTGCTTCCATAGTCTTATAAAACACTGTATCTTTTAGAAGAATTTTTACATTCTTCAAGTTTCTCTAAATGTATCCCAGGCTGAGGTTTGGTCCATCAACAATCTAACAGTACTAAAAAAACTAAATACCTGATCATAGCACATATAAAAACAGCAATACATATTTTAAAATATAGCAGTGAATACACATAGTATTAAACTGGAAATTTTATCATCATGGGACTTTTTATTAAAATATTCTAGTTATAGAAATTAATATTAAGAAACAAAATATGGTATCCATTGGTCACACTCTCTATAACTGATGTAAGAATAGTGTGCTACAAAGGACTCCAAAAAAATGATTTTGTCTAGATCCTGCTTTGAGGTCATTATTTCCTCATTTTATAGTTAAGGTGACTAATGCCCAAGAAAAATCAAAGTTTTTATTCATGATCATGAATTCAGAATGCAGAGAAGTAGGAACTGGAATGCTGGCCTATTGCTTCTTAAGTACAGAACTCTTCTTCCTGCCTCCACCTATCCCCAGGTCATGTGGAGACATCAGACTTCAAAGAAGCGTATTTGCTAAAGACATCACTGGATAACACACCAACCACAACAGCTACACTGCCTTGAACTATTACAACAATCTCCTAACTTTGTTCCCTGTTTCCAATATTTCTTCACCTCAAGCTATAATTCATTTTACGAACAGCAGCTAAATAGAATAATTGTGTTCACCTTACTATCACATCACTCTCACCAATAATTCATAATGGCTCCCTTTATCTATTGTTTGAAATCCAAGCACTCTATTGATCTGATCTTTGCCAACCGCCTACATTAACTCACCTTCTCTGTCCTTCCAATTGGCCCTGGCGCTCTAACTACTAACTAACTTGATGTTTTGTTCAAATACCCGTCTTAGTCCTAGTCCCATCCTATGAACTTGTAATTTCCTTTTCCCTTTCACCCTGCCAATGTGCATCTCTCATTTACTCCAACTTTCCTTAGAACTTTTTATACTAATTTTGGTCTTATCCAGTAGTTCTCAGGAAGAGAGATTCTCATGTTGTCAGAAGGCAACAAGAAGAGAAAGGGAGAGCGGGACAAAAAAGTTTTTCCTTAAGAATCACTGTTCTATTACTGCTCTACACTGGAAGCATCAAGTTCTTCACTAAAATAATTTTTATAAGTAAATGATGTTAAAAATGTCTAAGTCTAATGTTTTTAGTCATTCATCCAACAAGTATTTATTTATTTATATGTATATATACCTTTTCCTTGTACTGTTCTAGGCATGAGGGACAGAACAATGAACAAGATAAAAACCCATTCTAGTGACATTCTCTCAAACTTAAATTCTTCTATGTTTAAAATAATTAATGTAAAAAACCACAACAACTTGTTAGTGAGTTTTTCTCATGGTTAATGAGGGACACTGCATATTATTAAGCAGTTGGTTAAAGTTCTGTGGATGCCAGGCATAAGAAAGTCTCATTCTGAAGGTGGGACTGAATTTCAGAAAAGTAGTAGGTTGAGAAGAAGTGAAAATAAATAAAAAGAGAGAATGAAAATACAGAAGAGGAAAAAGGGAATGGTAGAAAGAAAAAGCAGCAGGCACTGGAAGACAGCTTTACTTCTCCCCTTCCCTTCAGAAGAGGTAGATGGCTCATGCACTTTTAGCCATACTAAAGCCACCTACAGGATCTCTTTCTTTTTATTAAATATGCATATTTGTAAACACTCCTTGGTAAGTTTTTAAGGCATTCCTCTTTGAAATGTTTCATCTCCTTCATTATATATTAGATTCTGTGTTATTGTTGCAGTATTGTCCTTGATTAATTATTATGACTTTCTTTACTATTAGTCATTTTAATGCTCTTCCTTACTCATTTATTCCTTTCCTCCACCAAACTCCTAGGAATTTTAAAGGACTTACCCTATCCTCTTAAACTAAAATTTCAAAATAAAATTATTATCAATAATGAGCCACAAACACCCAGGAAAGCCACTAGATATATTGGTATGATTTCTAAAATAGCATTAACTTGCAAACACCACACAGAGGATGCATTTTCGATTATTACAAGACAATTGGTGTGGGTATGAAAACTGTACTTGCATATAGTCAGATCTGCAAATTATCATAAGATTTTATATATTATAGCTCAATTTAAAAACCAATTTTCAAATTGGTTTGTATTGTAACAATTAATCTTACCCATACTGGTAAATGCCACTTAAAAACATTGAGAAAAAAATATAATCACAAAATTAATGGAATAGGCTATAACTTCTACTCTACCTCCTTCTCTTCTATACATTTAGGAGCATTTTCTAAAGGAAGGGGAAAATCAAAAGAAATCTGGGCAAGAAGTAACAGGGTGGAAAGGAGTGTCATTTTGGTTACTATTCTTATATATTCTATATATTTCAGGGCCATCCTGACTTGTCAATTGCTGACAAAGACCTAAGACTTTTTCTGTCCTCCCATGTTTAATATGTAATCCCCTTTAAAATTTACCTTTAAAAACCTGAAAAGCCCAAATAGTTTTCTACTTAAAGTTTAAGCTGCAAAATATTTAAATTTAAATTTTTTCTCTACACTTAAAAAATTTTTAATTAAAAAAAGCAGGTTCTAAACTAAACTGCAATCTAGCAACTATATTCTCACATTTAAATACTTAACTTCTATTAACTGTTAAAGGACTGTGAATAACCTATTCCTGAAATGTTTCTCCTACGCTATCTCAAAAGCTACAACAAAGTTTGGATCACACATATGCCTTCATCTTATCTACACAACACATATCTGTCTTGTCAGCTCATTCCCACTTGACCTCACTCCAACTAACTCTACTTTGCAAAATCAAAGAAAGTTGAAGACTATAATAATTTATTACAACTGAAGTTTGTTATCCAACTAAGTTTACTAGCTTTTGAGAAGCAGACACAGCATTTTTAAAAAATGCTTGAACATGCTTTCTACTACGTGGAAGAATCAGAAAGAGATCGAAATGTTGCAACAAAGGGCCTCCAGTGCTTCAAGAAGAATATACTATCTAGTGCCCTTCAGGTTCAACAGCACAAATTCATTTTCACAGAGAACAGTGAAAACCGTGACTCCTCCCCCTACTTGGCTGCCGGGAGAAAAGTCACAGTTCCTCTTCACTGATAGAGGGCCCTGCAGGCAAAGGGCTGGCCTCAGCATTTACTACATGAAAGCTGAATGACAAAATCTCCTAAACTCAGGTCCCTGTTGGTCAACTTCTAGGAGTAACAGAAGCTATAATAATCAACAATAAAAAGATTGCTGCAATGAGAGTTTGTGTATCCTTAAGCCATGGAATAGAAAAATTCCCTTTTTACTACTATATCAACTAAAAAGTCAGTCCAAGAGAACTACAGTATTCCACAGGCCATGTAATACATTCAGACTCTACCTATACAAATTCACTGATTGCCTCTTAAGAATCCCAATTTAGTTCAACCACTTCAAAAATGAAACTCCCACCTGTCAGGATAGTCATGTCTGCCTAGCCTTATTGCTCAAGGTTGTGGTAAAATTAAAATAAGAGTGCAAAAGAAAAAAAAATGTAAAGTGATGTCATTACTAAGGTTTCCATGAATGTCACTTGTATTTGAAAATGTTCTGGGAAGCCATTATGAACTGCAGACCACAGAATCAATGAAGTCATCCATCAATCAAATACTTATTCTTTACCAGAATGGATACATATGAAGTACAAAGAGAGGAGAACCAAAATTTATCAGGCATAAACTGTGCGAGACCCTTTAAATACATTATTCATTTAATGATTACAAACCCTGTCAAAGAGTTATTAATATTTTCACTTTAACAGTAAACTCAAGTTCAGAAGAGTTACAGTGACTACATGGCAATAACAGAAGACCCCAATGTGTTTGTTTCCTCTAAACCCAAAGACTCACCACTACAAACACCTCTCAAGTACTCTTTCTTAGGGAGATTAATTAACCAACACAAACAGTAACTGCAAGGAAAATACAATAACATACTAAATTGTATTTGACAATAGCTGCTATATAAGTTTTTTTTTAATTTTTTATTGTTATGTTAATCACCATATATTACATCATTTGTTTTGGTGTAGTGTTCCATGATTCATTGTTTG